AGGAGAGGAAAGAACACTGAAGGCAAGTATATACTCTGGATGATTTTGGAGGCTAAAGTGAGTACTTGGCCCTTTTGTACAAAATCCCTCAAAAATGTAAATTATTTATGTCTGGTATTACAATTAAACTCACTTCACAAGGAATATTTGAGAAATAAGACATAAAGAGTATCGTAGGGGGGCTACGGTTGCGGACAACCAATCTCCTTAATATATTAACTCTTATGTATAAACCCATTAATATATTAACTCTATGGTGAACAGTAAGAGTCAGGAAATGGAAGCTTTCACATAATGCTGAATTAACTACTGCTATTTAAACTCTTGATACAAATGTTTATCTTATATACTACTCTAGTTTATTATCAACATGGCTACCAATTTTTTCACCTAACTTCTACAACAGCCTCAAATCACAGCAAAGAGAAAAAAAAAATTAAACTGTCAGTGGCTAACAGGTAAAATCAGACTAGGTGATACTAGGCATTGATACAGCCCAATTCAAATTAGTAAACTGCAGAAAGCAAATAATAGGCTTCAATATCCTCTCTCCTGATAGGAGAGGATAAAAACCTTTATTGAAGCCTTCTTGTGTTTTGTGGCAATGGAACCCATTTGGTGCTTTACCTCTTAATCTCATTTAGTCTGATCCTCATAAGAACATGTATGAAGTAGTATTGTATCCTTTCTGCAAGGAGGCAAAACAAAGTGCAAAAATTAAGATAACTAAAGCAAGTCATGTGAGTATGCATCAAGGTTTTAACTGAGTTCAGTGCAACTCAAAAATGGTGTTTGCCTCCATCTCCCATTAAAATGCTTTCAGCCTGGGGGATGGGTGGGGGGAAAGCCTGGAGAGGTGAATTTGATCCTGTATCATTCATGTAAGTCTCCAAAGGATAAAATTTAAAACAAGATTGTTACAGCAGCAGCCAAAGGACTCTAAGAGAAGTCACAGAACTATAAAACTAGTAAAATATCAACTAAGAGATTGAAAAGTAAACATTCACAATTAACTTTCAAGAAATCAACTTTCAATTAGGAAACTTTAATCATTTCCTTATAACTTTCTGAAATCTATTCATAGTACATTACTATTTTCTTGACAACTGAGTAATCTATAATAGTTTACAGGCCAATTATTCAGAGTACGAAATGTAAAAAAAATAGACCAAATACACACAAAACACATACAGATCTACATCAAAAATGCTTTGACATAGGACATAGCACAGAAGCTATTTTTGGAATAACTCATAAAATTCCAGTACTTTAAAACATCAGCCTGTATAACAAATGACACGTAATCTATCTGACCTCATCATTTTACAACGGAATAAAAAGCCACCCAAAGAGCTTCTCTGTCCAAAAAGTAGAGAAGCAGAATCTGGTACAGGGAAATTAAAGAAGCAGAGGAAATATACTTAACTGAGGTTTCTAGATCATTAATAACTATATGCTCAAACTAAATACAACTTAAAAATAGTTTTGTGGCATGCACTATTCAGAAGTGATATAAAACCTATCACTAGAAGAGAGAGACACATACAATATGCTAGACTCTCACTGCAGCTGTACTCCTCAAATCTATTTGTATAGTCAACATAAGAGTTTTACAGCAAATGCAAACTATACCTATGTAGGTACATGACACTTGTCTCACTATTCTGCATCTAAAGCCAGGTGCGGTGGCTCACACCTGTAATCCCAGCACTCTGGGAGGCCGAGGTGGGCGAATCACGAGGTCAGGAGTTCAAGACCAGCCTGACCAACACAGTGGAACCCCATCTCTACTAAAAATACAAAAAAATTAGCTGGCATGGTGGCTTGCACCTGTAATCCCAGCTACTCAGGAGGCTGAGGCAGGAGAATCTCTTGAACCCAGGAAGTGGAGGTTGCAGTGAGCTGAGATTGCGCCATTGCACTCCAGCCTGGGCTACACAGCGAAACTCCGTCTCAAAAAGAAAAAAAATTCTACATCTAAGCCCTCAGTCCTCTGCTTCACTATAACTCATTTAAGGCATATCATTGTCCTCACTTTCCATATGAATAAAATTTCTCCCTCATAAACACAAGAATCTTTCCCCTATTCTAAAGTTTATCTTACTTAAACCAGTGCCACAAATAAAAATGTTCTACTATCTTACTACTTTGTGTAAAATGGTAAGATCATCCTGTAGCATTCTAGATACAATTTTTTTAAATAACTTAAGAAGAAATTTTCCCATTAAGGTTACATAAAGAACAAAAATGTAAAATAAACCATAACATCAGCAGCAACCATCAGCAGAAACTTATAGAGGCATTATATCCTTATAGTTACATCAAGGACACAAAAGCTATGTCAGAGAAATACACAAAGACAATGCTGCCATCTAAAGGCCAAGATATAATATGAAAAGATGTATGTATACTCAAATACTATCAAAACAGCTTGATAGTTTAAGTCAGCAAAGTTTATACGAAAACTATGCTACCATTATTTTTAGACTATGCAATTAAACTATAATACCCTTTGGAGAAGATTCAGTTTATTAAGAGAATTAGCAAAATAATTTGACTGATTATCAGTATTTGTCAAAGCATAGGCGAAATTCTTTTGGTATTCTTTCTGACAGTGTTCTCTGTACATACCTGTATTAGTTGCTAATTTAAAATATTTGCTGTTACATTACTAGAATACGTGTCAAAGTAAAAACATTCTAATTACTTAAAATTGTGGCTTTGCAAGTATTTAAATATTTCTCCTTATTTCATCAATTTTAAAAATACAAACTTCCAGTGGGAGGTTAGGTATCAATATCTCAATAATCCAATAAAGAGTTCAAATTATTCTAAATTTCCTTTTCTAAGAAACTTAAATGGGAAGAACTGTAGTGAATTAGCCTTTAAGACTTAGCAAAATTACCTCAAATTTCCAATGAAATGAAAATGTTTAATAAAAAAACTAAATACAAAACTGATTCCCTTCGCATTTAAGTATATAACATCTTTTTAATGTACCAAAATATTGGGAAAAAACTAATGTGAACATAACAAGAACCTTCAAAACATAAACAGTTGCTTTTTGGGGAAATCACTGGCTAAAAATTGTTTGATGTGCCAATAAAACTATTTTTTTACATTTACTCAACAAGAAAAATAAGAGTCAACAAATATCCTATTGCTTGAGAAATAGAAATCTTCTAAATTGAGATCACCATCCTTTAATTTACCTTGAATGTAAAGTGAAAACCAAAAGTTAGATAACAAATACAGTTGTGATGCCATAAAAACTACTATGTTTTACATGTCTCCTGTAAGTCAGAGTTTGTACTAGACAATTTAAAGATAAGGTGTCATTTAATCCTCGAAACTATAACTAGCAAACAGAGATCAATAACCTCATTTACAAATGAGGTGTAAAGAACTCAAGTAACTTTCCCAGGGTCACAATGCAAGTGAGTGAACACCAGTATTCAAAAATTCAGTGTCTCTAACACAGACCTAACTTATCTTTACAAAATCCTGCTGTCTCAAGAATGATTATCACATAATAATTATTAAATGTTATGAACTCCAAGGGGCAATAAAAAGATGTCTCCATTTTTGAAATACAACTAAAAAAGCAAGTCTTCTTTGTGGTATATTACACATTCAAGACTACCCTGACAACATTTTCAAATACAGACATGCATTGCTTAATGACAGGAAAATGTTATGAGAAATGTGTCACTAGGTAATTTTGTTGTGTGAACATCACAGAATGTACTTAAACATTCTATGAGCATACAGAAAGCCCTGGACTGTATGTTATAGCTTTTATTGCTCCTAAGCTGTCAAGCTGAACAGCATGTCACTGTACTGAATAGTGTAGGCAACAATACAACGGTATTTCTGTATCTAAACATAGAAAAGGCAAAAATACAGTGTAATAATCTTACAGGACCACTATTATATATGCTGTCCACTGTTAACCCAAAAATTGTTACATGGCCCATGACTGTACACAAGCTATTTTTCAATTTGAAGAACTCCTACTGGTGCCCCCTAGTGACAACTTTTTCTTTTAACTGATATGATGTACCTATCATATAAAAATGTAAATGCTTTGGAACATTATTCAGCCATAAAACATAATAAAGCTCTGATACATGGTAAACGTGAATGGGCCTTGAAAACAACATGCTAAGTGAGACACCAGAAACAAAAGACTATGTATCACATGATTCTGTTTATACAAAATATCTAGAATAGGAAAACCCATAGAGAAAAAAGTAAATTAGCAGTTGACAGGGACTAGAAGAAGGGTAAAATGGGGAGTGATAGCTAATGGGCACAGGATTTTTTTTTAGGGGTAATGAAAATATTCAAAAATTTGACATTGGTAATGACTGCACAACATGGTAAATATACTAAAAGCTGATGAGTTGTACACTTTAAAGAGTATTGAAATGTATTTTATGTTAATTACCTCTCAATAAAAAAATTGTAAGATTTTTTAAGCATAATACATTAAACGCGTCTGAGTTATCCATGTACATGCTTAAAATATAAAATCTATGTAATTGCCCATATTATATACTCTAAATTATTGAATCCCATTTTTTATCATACTAAGTAAAAGGTTCTATTTTACAAGAGTACATTTTTCTGCACAATAAAAAATTTCTAACTGTCTAGAATTATTATAATCCCCAGAGATACCAGAAAGAACTACAACCATAGACAAACAAATTCGATTTTTCCAATTTACCAGTGTTAGTTCACGGTCCACATTTAGAAAAGATGCATTAGCACATGCTAATGAGGGATTTTTAACATGCAGGTACCACACACAAACACCATCTATTCAGTTAAAAGATCAATTTATAAAATCATCACTTTAAAAGAATTTTTGCTTTTGATTAAGTAGTATTTGAACCATCACAAGACAATAAGCAGAAAAAAATTATAAATAAACTTGAAAGAATTCAAAGGTTAGGAATAAAATGAACAACACAAGGATGATAACAAGTACTTACTAATTTGTTTTCCTGCATGTATATCCTTTGTAATTTCAGACAGCCCTTAGCTATGACGATCATGCCTTCATCTGAGATCTTGTAACACTGGCCGAAATGAATATCTTTGAGTTCTCTGCATTTTGAGCCCAGCTGTAAACAAACAGATTTAGCTGAATGCTCAAAAAATAACAAAGGCAACATATTTCAAGTGAGATTTTCATATAATTTTTTGAAAATAACCATGTCAGAGTTAAATATTTATGTTACTTGTAAAATAAGATAGAATGTAAGCAATCCATAATTTAAAACAGTAATGTATAAACATTTTTAACCTTCTAATGTACCTCCCTGTTTCAACCAACTCATATTACAAGCCCGCCAAGGTATCTGTATTCCTTAACAGTTCAAAATTATATATTTATTACTCCAGTATTTTTTTTTAAAGACAGGGTCTCGCTGTGTTGCCCAGGCTAGAGTGCAGTGGCTCAATCATGGCTTACTACAGCCTCAACCTCCTGGGCTAAAGAGATCCTCTTACCTCAGCCTCCTGAGTAGCTGGGAGTACAGGTGTGTGCCACAACACCTGGCTACTTTTTAAATTTTGTTGTAGAGCTAGGATCTCACTATGTTGCCGAGACTAGTCTCAAACTCCTGGCCTCAAGAAATCCTCCCACCTCAGCTTCCCAAAGTGCCGGGATTACAGGTGTGAGCCACTGCACCCAGCCTCTCTTGTGTCTTAATAGTGAAGAAAAAAAAATAATACTTAAAGGAATAAATTATAACATATTCATAAGACTGAGTATTATACAACCACTAAAATTGGAACAAACATGTGACAAAAATGTATGTAAGCTGTTATAGTATAATCCAATTTTATAAAGAAATTATGCATAAATGCATACATATGTATTTGTGCACAGAAACGGGACTGAAATACATACCAAGGTGTTCACAGTGGTTAATTCTGATTAGTGCATGAGTTTTTATTCCCTTCTGCCTATGAATCTTCTCCAATTTTTTTTAACAAACATTGCTTTTATAAGAAAAAAAAACTTACAAGTTCTGTCTCAACTAAAGTAATGACATCAGAAATACATGTGAGTTCAGTTACTTTTCCAGAGGTGGTGATAGATATAAACTATATTATTATAATCTAGGCTGCACTACTACTAATAACATATTCCTACAGAAATGTAAACTCCATGAAGCCAGCAGATTGTCTATTTTATTAAATAAGGTATCTCTGGTGCCTGGTATTTTACACTTAGTTGACACTTAATAAATATTTGTTAAATGAATGAAAAGACTGATCAGGATTTTGTACTATAAAGAAGCTCATTTTAAGTGGGCAAATACAAGAAACTATGATTGTGGCCTCATACACTACTAAGTTCCACAGTTAATTTGTGGGTTCTAACTGGCCCATGGAGAGAATTCAGGGGTTTCAGGAAAGCAGATTTTTTTAAAGTACATGTTCATTTTTTATGTTATCCTCCAACTGAACTTTAGCCTTTCCTTATTATATGAAAAACACCACAGTAGCTTAGCAATACCTGAGACTTTGTAAGCAATAGAAATCAAAGATTACTTCATATATCACTGTTGCAGATACCTTGAAATATTTTTCATTAGTATTCATCATGCTCATTAGATATCAGATTTGTATTGAATTCATTAAAAGAGGCATATATATTTCTACAACAAATGTACAATGGCATGTCACTATACCTAAGCAAACTAAATCCAAAGCCAACAGTGGGAAAAGCAAAGAAGTCTACTAAAGAACTCTCAACAGACTCACATATGTCTGGCAGTGAGGCTGAGGTTGGGGCTAAAAATACTAGAATTCTTGAAAGTCTGTTGAAAAAGTAGTTAAATCCTCAGATCACCTCCCCATTACTGCACAGTCTGACCTTGCCTTTTTTCCCACAATGCCAAAAAAATGTAATCTCTGGGGAGAGCAAAACATAGGGTTTTTGGACTGGGGTATACCACATATAGCTGAGAACCAAAGCACAATGGGGAAAATATGGGGATTTGTGAAAGTTTATTCAGTGAAAACAGAGGAATTCAAAGAAATATTTCTATCCAATTTTCCAGAATGAAAGGGTATCAACTTTCAGACTGAAAGGGCTTATCCATGTGTCCAGCACAAATAACAAAAACAGATACACTGCAATGCAAATCATCATAAAGTTTCAGAAACACGAGTTTAAAGAGATTCTACAGACTTAGAGAGATAAACTTCATAGAAAGGATTAGGATGAAAATGCACCAAACTTCTTAACAAAAGTAAAAGAAAGCAACAGTCCAATGCCATCAAATTCTGAAGATAAATTATTTCTAACCTAGAATTCTGTGATTGGGATTCAGACTATGAATTAAGTGTGAAAGTAGAATTAGAGATGTTTTCAGACATACAAGTTATCAAAAGATTTACCTCCCATATACACTGTATCAGGAAGGAATTGGAATCTGTGTTCTATAAAACATGAGAATACACCAAGGGAAAGAAAACATGACATCTGGGTAACAGAAGATCTAATCCAACAGCAAGAGAATGGAAATCTTAAGGATAACGGTGGTAAGATACTAAGATGGCCACTAATGCAATCACACTTGTATATGAGAAGTCCAGACTAGACTATCCCAGGCAAATCTGCTTTAGGGCAGTAAATGTAACGAAGTATTCACATATAGACATACTAATGCAACTGGAGGAAAGCTTTGGTCTTCATTAGTGTTAAGAGTATAAAAAAAAGAAATAAAAAGACATTTATTAATTGCAATGAAAACAAAATGCTTTAGAGAAAAAAAGATAGGTACATAATTATAGAATGTAAACACTGAATACTTATTTAACAAAAATTAGAATTATGTTAGAAGGATGAGAGGATAATACACAGGGAAGGAAGTATAAGTGAGCTAAATCCTTACCTTCGATAGCAAGGAATCAGCAATAAACAGTCAAAAGTGAATAAGTTTTTTAAAAAATACAAACAGACATGGCAGGGGAAAATGTTTTCTCATTCTGTAGGAAGCCAAACTAGTCTGATTCCCAGTCTCTCCACTGATTATTCTGTATTTAATAAACTGGATATTTTCAGCTCGTATGTATACTTCTTCCCCTTGTGAATAAACTGCACACAGGGAGCAAGCAATCTTTACTTCTCCATTTGGGGCCACTCTGCTGGTTAGCCTAGTCAATGACTAGTCAGTTAGCCAAACTCCAGAGTCAGGTTAACAATCCCATTTAGCACTGTTTGTAAGCAATATTCTCCACCTTAGATTTTCTGAGTGCTAAAGCTGACATCTTGCTCCTCCGTCACTATTTCTTTGTCATACTTATCAATTTGATAACATCCTGTGCAGTGAAGAGGCCCCATGAGACCTCAACAGTTAGTACACCAGCTAGAAACATGGAGAAATAAAGGAACAGAATCTACATATTAACAGAAGGAATAAGTGTGGTTTTTGGTGAAGTCTCAGACATCAATGTGTGTGGACAAGTTGGTACAGCTTCAAGTTAAGACCCGTAAATCACAGCGCCGCAGACTGGTAAAATAATTTAAACTGACTACATGGTGTTTTGACATTGAAAAGTAGCTTTGCTGGCTTTATCTATAAGGAAATGACTTTTCATAGAGGCCACATGGATAACCACACAAAGATGAGAACCACGTGGATGGCATATGTAGAAATTACCAGCATGTGAGGTAAAGTTAGATATGGGGAACAGTGCCTCACAGGAGAAGCTATTATGATTTACTACTACTGAGTAAAACTATCATTTATTCTCACTGCAGAAACTGACACTCTGTTTTAGACATCACTGGATATAACCAGCAAGACCGGACCTAAATCAGTGCCTATCTGCACTAAACACCATTACACCATCCATAAATGTCCTAAGTTCCAGACTATCCCAGCATTGTAAAGTCAGTCATTATAACTGATATATTTACAATTTGGCTGACAGTCTTTAAATTTCTCAATGTTGTATTTGTCTATGACCCACAGAAAAATTTGAATTTGGTTGATTCAGAGGGCATCAACCAAACCCTACAAAAGCATAACCATTAGGATGCCTTAAATCTAGCACAACTAGTACTCTATCTAAAAACCATAGAAATAGAATACAATTCTTTTTCTTTTGGAGATGGAGTTTTGCTCTTTCACCCAGGCTGGAGTGCAGTGGCGCGATCTCAGCTCACTGCAACCTCTGCCTTCCAGTTTCAAGCAATTCTCCTGCCTCAGCCTCCCAAGTAGCTGGGACTATAAGCACCCGCCACCATGCCCAGCTAATTTTTGTATTTTTAGTAGAGACGGGGTTTCACCATGTTGGCCAGGCTGGTCTCAAACCCCTGACCTCATGATTCGCCTGCCTCAGCCTCCCAAAGTGATGGGATTACAGGCGTGAGGCACTGCGCCTAACCGAATACAAGTTTTTTAAGTAAAAAATTATCTATCCAGGAAGAAAGTGCTAGAGACACTGGAACTCTACCCTGTCAAAAGGGAGAAATCCTCGTAAGTGCCCTGGCGTCCAGCTGAGACACCAAAAAGATGGTACCTTGGGAGCAAGAACTATGCCTACAGTAAGGCCTATTCTAGACCATCCAAGTTAGAGGGATTTGGGAAATATCTTGGGCTTTCCACATAATAAAGCATAAAACTGAACATAAACAAGATAAGGATGATCATTCAGTAACTATAATGCTTGCTTTAAAAGAAAAGATTTCTGGTTTTCAGTCTGGCATGTAAGGAGTTTAGAAGTTGCCACTCTGCTCCAAAAAATAAAAAGCTAAACACACTGAAAAATTAACAGTTCTTTTTAGATCCATCAGAGAAATGAAGACACAGACCAAACCACTGCCACAAAACTGCAGAGACAGGCAGATACAGAGAAGAACAACTCACCAGAAGAGAAACTACTACCAGAAACCTCAGCAGGAACCAGGACTAGAGTAGGAGAATCTAAACTCTGCATTTGCCAAAATACTGGAGGCACAGCATGGATAAGTCTGATAATTAAAAATTCCAGGGGGACCTAGTTATAAGACAATACTCATACTTTTGTGAGTTTTATCTACAGGAGCTCTACCAGGTCTTCACGGTGAATACTGGAGAAATCACCTCATGCATACAGCAGT